AGTACGGCTGGTTCGGCCCCCCTAAACCACCTTTCCTTCCCCGTAAGGTCAAATCGAAAGATAAAAAAAGGCCAAAAGCTTTAAATAAGGCCAGGGCTTAATGAAATTTTTTAAAAAAAATAGATTATATACAATGGGATTATTTATCTATGATATAGAGCAGTCCCAATCATTTAACTCTTTCATATGGATTTTGATAACAAGGATATGTCGTAAGGTTTGAAAAAAAAAATTTTGAATTTTGAGCTTGGTTAATGTAATAAATATAGCTACCCAATTCAAATTTAATGGTTTAGATTAATTATGACCATCTTGTACCAAAGATAAATAATCTTATTGTATGCTTTCCTTATAAAAAATAAAGTTGTCTAAAATCTCATAGAAAAATGGCGGCTCTAGCAATCGAATTTTTTCAAAAACTTATCCTATTGATCTTGACTATTATGGATGAAAACAAAATTAGTAATTTCAAGTTTTAAAATAATGTATTTTGTAATATATTATCTAGTTGGTCGATTTGTTTATGGATCTGCAAGATCTTTACTACTTTTTTAGCTACAACTCACAATTAGTGGTAGAAATAAATGTAGTTCTCTCGTAAGAGCTTCAAAGCTGGAAGTGTGTTTCCAAAAGAGATTATAAGGTGAGGCTTTTACTTTTTTTCCATAAGGCCTAAGGCCTTATAGAAATTGCATCCAAACTAAAAAGCACCAATCAAAAGTCAAGTTGATCCTAGTCGGTAGTCACTCGACTATATGTGTGTTTTAACTTAGGATGTGGTTTGTATAGAGCCTACTTTCAAATAGTGTTGAAAAATGTAGTTTCAATACTGAAAATCTTTGTGACAGCCTTAAAATATATTTGTATCTTTATTTATAAAGTTTAAAGTTTCAAAAATAGTGTAGATCGGCAGATCCATGAAAACTTGAAAATCTTGAAAATTGACGGTCCAAAAATACTTTACAAAATACACATTTTCAAAACTTGAAATCCATTTTTTTTCTCATGTCCATGCATCTTGGTGTTGAGATGATTAATTTGATGATATTTGAGTATCAAAACAACCACTTCTAATGAAATTTTTGAGGTAGACTCCAATTTGATTGTTTAAAGCCTCGGTTATATATAAATTTTTCCCTCAACTTATTTGGACTTTTTTGTGTTTTTCTTTTAGTTCGGTTTAGCTTTTTCCATTTTGGTTTTAACCATTTTATTCAACTTTTTTTATGCTTTAGGGCTTTATTGGTACATTACTTGGGCAAGTCCACTAAAATTCGCCCAAAGTAACTCAACTCAAACCATGGCCGAGTTCTAGAACTTTGTAACAACGGCTCTCTCTATCTCTCTCGCTAAAAAAAATTTATTTCCACCTATTTCACCTTCAAATCACTTACCACTACATTTAAAATCAATCCCTCCTTTCATCACATGAATGGATGAATTTAAATTTTAAAAGAAGACCCCATAATATTGATAAGGAGGAAAGGACCACAATCGGCACCCTGGTTTTTGCGATGCCACGCAAGTATGGGTAGGACTAAAGAAAATGTAAAGCTAAAGTATATAAAGAGATTATTTATTTCGGGTATAAAGAGATGACAATTATTCTGCCTATCACATTTCAAACAGGTGAAATATTATTGATTAGACTCAAAGTTTACAAAATAATTGTCGACTTTCATAACACACCCAAATCTATCTAATTTAACATCCAATAGCCGGAAGTGTGGCTTTATTATAATAAAAATAAATTATCTTACAATATACAATCCTCAATAAAAGGGAGCTAAAATTTCAACCCATTCACAGGGCGCATATGGCAATCCTTAGTGATAAATATATTGATGTCTCAAGAGGAGGCAAAATGCCATATAACATGCTACATGGTGTATACTATTAAGGCACTGCATGCAATGTCTACGATCTCTATCGAACAAGGGGTGGTCGCGACGAGCCTTTTCTAAGCTTGAGTGGACAATGCGGACCACAATTCATCTGCACCTTCCGTATTGAGATTGTACAGTGGATAATGATTACATGCACTACATACGAAAAAACAACAATATATGCATTTTGGTACATTATCCCTTCCCTTCTCATAAGAATGAAACTTGAGATGCAATACTATTAAAATACTATTAAAACCCAGTTGCTACCGTCCGGACCCAAGCCCGATTCCTATTACACAACAAATATATACAAAGAATGTTTACCAGAACTTCCCTTTTAGATAAGTAAGAAAAAATGAGCTATTGGCAATTATGCACACCTCAGAAACTCATAGGAAAAGATATTGTTATTGTTAGGATTTAAGAACCTTCTTAAAAGTAGAAACAAGAATCCCAAAAGTTGGATCTCATTAGGAACATGTATTTATCCTGTTAGAAACAAAATAGGCGAGAGTACGAACCATAATACGAGAAATAAGGCATTAACACACACACCACAAGAGCACAAAGATTTACATGACCCACCATAATAATGCTTCTCTCGCTATGAAGCTCTTTCTCTCTAAGGGGAGGTCTTGCCTCTCATGCACATGAGGCCCTTGCCTCTCTCCTTCCAGAGAAAGCCAACTTTCCCATATGGTGACCCCAATAGGGCACATGTTTTCTTTCACCTTTCATCCCATATATAGAACGTTAGGAATCCAGACTAAATATGAAACTTCCTATAGATGTTATATATATCTCAAGAACCAAAAGATATACCCAAGATTCTTAATTTTTTTGGATTTCTATTTTCTTTAGGAAACTTATCAATATCAATCTCAATCCTACATAATATGAGATTTCTTTATGTGGGTGACTTTTGGATATCACCATATCTAACAACCTCCACCTGGATATCAAAATCACTTGTTCACTATACCAACATCCAATTGATAGCTTTTATGAAGTCATCATCTTTTGTCAAATAAATTTCTTATAATTATTGCATAAAGAATAGTGTTTGCCATCATATTTTCTCCACCTCAAACAAAACACCCGCGTATTTTGTCACGTGCTTTTCTTCAGCCGAATGCACAAATACTAGCTTTGTACTAAACTATGCACTTTGATACCACTTGTTAGAATTTAAGAACCCTATTAGATGCGGGAACAGAAATACTAAATTTAGATCCCACCAAGAACATGTATTTATCTAACTAGAAATAAAATATGCTAGAGTACGAGCCATAATACGAGAAATAAAGCATAAACACATACACCACAAGAGCACAAAGATTTACGCTGTTCTTCACAAAGGGGTACATCCACCGGCACTGCAAACTGAAATCCATTATACCAATGAATCCCAAAAGTTGGAAACGTGAATCCCAAAAGTTACATCAAAGATTTTGGAAACGTGAATCCCAAAAGTTGGATCCCATCAGGAACATGTATTTATCTAGCTAGAAACAAAATATGCGAGTGTATGAGCCATAATACTAGAAATAAAGCATAAGCACAAATACCATAATAGCACAAAGATTTACATGGTTCACCACAAAGGGTTATATCCACCGGCATGATAAACTGAAATCCATTATACCATTGAAAGTTACATCAAAGATTTTGGAACATAATTACCTCTTTAACTCTTGACAAAACCCAGTTGACCAAACCCCTTTTAGAACCACTCTCTCGATCGGCACCATCTACCATTCCTATTCCACAACTAAACCATTGTCTAGAAAAAGACCATATCTTTTCTCTAAGGGGAGGCTTTATCTCTTATGCACGGAAGGCCCATGGGTCTCTCTCTAGAGGAAGCCTCCTTTCCGAAATGGTGACCCAAATAGTTCACACATATTCTTTCATCTTTCATCCCATTTATATAAAGATAGGAATCCAAACTAAATAGGAAACTTCTTATAGATGGTACATATATCTCAAGAACTACGATATATACCCAAGAGTTCTAATCTTTTTGGATTTTTATTTTTTTTGGAAAACTTATCAATATCAATCTCAATCTCACATAATATGGGATTTCCTTATATGGGTGATTTTTTGATGCCACCATATCCAACAGTTATGATGATAAGCAATCCTTCAAATTGATCCTCTCAACATCGAGACATACATATGAAAAAGTAAAATTTTAAGTTATAAAGTTATTGTATCTTGTAAAGTATTATCTGGATTATCTATTTCCAAAAAATTTGATTGTTTATAGATATGTTGTTCAATCTACCTCATTTTAAAAGCTTTAAATTTCATAATATAAGGGCCAATGGTTTTTAATGGCATCCTAAATGCTTTTCAACCTAAAAGCTTCATCTTTCAGCATACTTGAGATACACCTTATTTCAATTGTTCAAAGTTGGCACTTTATCCAAAGAGATTGTATGTATTATGAAACTATTTATCATTGGTATAAATCACAATTACTACTCGTCATTAAATGTCAAAATAGATGGCTTAAAGCATATTATAAAGTTTGACCAATTTTCTTTTCAACTTTTTGAGTCTAGCCAATAACACTTTTATACCCACACGATTTGAAATTAGATAGAAAGCATGAATATAACCTCCTTGTATGATATGATCTCTTTGTATACTTATGCAAACCTCCGGATGAGTTAATGAATTTTCATAAAAATGGTTCTTCCAACCCCAACACTCCCACTTCCCAATGACTTTCCCCATTCCCAATACCAATTATTGACATTAGCCCCGCATTACAGCTCAATGGCTCCTACCTCCTCTCTCTCTCTCTCTCTACACCACTTCTTCCCCCCCCCTCCCTCTCTCTCTCTTTCTATCCCCGCACATCTCTCTCTTCTCTCTCCCCATGTTATTCTCGACCACCTTCTTTTAGAAAAGTCTTCCCCACATGCTAACAAAGAGAATGTTTTAAATTAAGACATGAAGAATCGCAACCACATACTGGTACAAAGAACCAAGACACCTCCAAACCTTGAATGTTAATTATATGATGAACCCTCACCCTCTCTGTCTCTCTCTCTCAACCTTGAATTTGAATTATATGCTGAATCCTATCTCTCTCTCTCTGTAGGGTAGTCTTGTGTTGTTCAGTCTAGGTCTTACACTCTCCAGTATGTCTCTCCCTCTAGGGTAAGCTTATGTTTGTCAATGACATGATTTCTCTCTATAGAGATAGATAGAGAGAGAGAGTGTAATAGTCAGGGACCTTTTGATCCCTTCAAAGACAAGAGAAGGACATTTTCACCCCTCTTTCTTTCTCACTCTAAAGGATAGCCTCACATTGAGCACAGGACATATTTTGATGCATCAAATAAAACAGAAGATGATGTTTCCACTCACTTTCAGCCCATGTTGTTAGTTTCTCTCTCATATATCAACCCACCTCCCCCATCTTCCTATCTTTTTCTAAAGGAATGGAAGTTGCACTCACCCACAAGAGAGACGATCACCCCAACACAGCAATCCCATCTTCTTCTTCCACCCCCCATAATGAGCCCATGGTGCTCTACAAAGAGTGCCTCAAGAACCACGCCGCGAGCCTGGGCAGCTACGCGACAGATGGGTGCGGTGAGTTCATGGAAAGTCTCGAGCAATCGGACCGAGGTGGTCTCAAGTGCGCGGCCTGTGGGTGCCACAGAAACTTTCACAGGCGAGTCCCCGTGAGTCCCAAGTCGATTAAGAGAGAGGAGAGAGAAATTTGCTTCTATGTGGATGAAGGCAAGAGAGAGCAGAGAGAAAGAGGAGATGGGGTGATTAGAAAGAGGATTCGGACTCGGTTTTCGGTTGAGCAGAAGGAGAGAATGCTGTGGTTTGCTGAGAAGATGGGGTGGAGGATACAGAAGGATCAGGAGAAGGAGATCCAAGCGTTTTGTGAGGAGATTGGGGTGAGTAGGCAGGTGTTCAAGGTGTGGATGCACAATCACAAGGGGGCAGCTGGTAATAACAACAATGCATCAGATGTTACACAATAGATTTTCATTTTTGGTTTTTTTTTTGCCCATTTTACTTTCCTCCAGTACAGTGGAAGACTGGGTTTTAGATCTCTCTCTCTCTCTCTCTCATTTGGCCTTGCAAGGATGTTGAGGGAGTGGTATGATCATGATCTCTTTCCATCTCTCTCTCTCTCTGACCTTCAGGCTAATGCAATTGGTTTTGGAAGGAATTAAAAGAAATCTCTCTCCCTCTCTCTCTCTCTGTTGAGGACCTTCAGGCTAATATAATTTGATGTTGGAAGGAATTACCTTCAGGCTAATATAATTTGGTTTTTGGAAGGAATTAAGTGAAATGTGTGATTCTCTCTCTCTCTAACCCTCTCTCTTGAGGGCCTCAAGGTTAATGCAATTTCTCTCTCCCGCTCTCTCTCTCT